ACTCATCTTGATTAGCGAAACAAAAAAATGTAGCATATGATTATCAAAATATTTAAAATTTTAAGGTTGACTGATTTATCGAACAGATCTTATCATTTGATCACATTATTATAATGTATTCACTCGATTCGACTTTGTTCGCCAAGTTTTCAGTAGGCCTTCAATCATCTGAGAGTGGTTACCTGTCTGGTATGTGGCAAGCAAGTACACAACAATGTGGATTGTCACATGGATCAAACAACAGTGTGGATTGTCACATGGATGAACATATCAGCCTACTACATCGTCAAAAATGTTTGGGAATTTGATTTTGTTTACAGCACGTATGTGCAATACCGAGTTGCGCACTGAATAAAGTGTCAAACGACAACGCTCTACGACTAGCTATTTTTGGATATTGTGTGGGATGGGTGTAAAGTGGAAGTGTGGTGACTGGTGGGGGGGGGGGAGTTAAATTGTATTCAATGCGTATGAAATTGTGTAACCATAATTCAAAACGAGTTTCGTTATAGAAATCTGTATATTGCGTATAATGATGTCATATCAAACTGCAAAGGGTGTTTTTGACGTCACACCAACCACAAGGATGTGTTTTATGACGTCAGGTTAAAAAATGGGCGTTACTTTTTATGGCGATATATGGAGCGATACTTACCAAAAGCCCCATTCAAACTAATCAATCCCTCCCTAGCCTGTACATTATCTGATGCAGGCTTAAGATCAAGATTGTATTTCATCTTATTTGACCTCGGTTTATTCCTCTCTGTAGCTGTATGTGAACAGAAGTACTCTTTATGAATTTATCTTGTAGGATAGTGAATGACCATACGTGACGTAACGCATACAGTTATATAGAACACTCCAGCACATTGTGACGTATGTGACGATTTCAACATCACGTGACGATGTGTGACAATATGTAAAACGTGTATAACAATTGATATATGTGTCAAGATGTGACTATGATATAATTGAAATATGTAGCCAAGTTTACTGTACGGGTTAATGACATCTGCGACCAGAAGACTCAGGTAACTATGACACCCCCCCCCCCCCCCTTCCAACTGCTTTTTACTTTGTCAAAGTTGAAGACTTAACTTTTCTTCCCTTAACACTGAGTCTATTAACAGAGAAAAGGCTTACAAATCCTTAAATGTCTTTATAGAAAAAATTGCGTTAATGTCCCTCGTAGACAAAAGATGTTTCCCCTAGATAAAATAAATCTACACATCAACAGGTTTTAGTGTCGGCCCACTCCGCCATCAAACGTCAACACCGGCAGTCACCCAGAGTGCACCCAGACGAACAACCTTCCTGCTCGGCCAAGCATGACATCGTTATCACAGGCTGGCGGCGTGTTCACTCAAGCGGAACGGGAAGACAAGCGATACACGCCGGCGGTACTTTCAATAGAATTTTATTGCGCCACGGGTGCTTGATATACATGTGGCGTCAGTCGGGGATTGAATGGAATTAGAACAATATAAAACAATACCACGGTACAAGTATTTTACATGTTGTGTTTTACAGGTTGTGAAATAAAAACAAAAGTATAGAGTACTATAGAGCAAGCATATTTTGTTTCTTTGAAATATAAATAATTTCTAATTAATCGTTTTAATCAAGGTATTTCATGAGGACGGGATCAGTCGTACATAAGAATGCGGGAGGTGGTAATGGTGGTGTCTGTGTAATGGTAAGCTAATGATGGTAGTGGTGACGGTAGTGATGGTGGTTGTTTAGGGGGATCTGGTGATGATGGTGATGCCGCGCAACCTCGCAGCTGAGAGGGAACATTATGGTGATGATGACGGTGATGTATTGTTAATTATGGTGGTGGTTTGGAGGGGGGGGGGGCAGGTGAGGGTAGTTGTGATGGCAGAAAAGATGCACCACTGTTATAAAACAAATTATAAACATAAGTGTGGAGGACTATTTGCTTATTGTTGGTTGTATTGCTTATAAGGTTGTATTAAATACTTTACCTCTCAATACTAACACTATACATGCGTTTTTGATGCAATCATATTTTAACGTTACGTGTTACATGGCCATCAACCCCTCCCAGTGGCACAGCAGATCACGTGGGTTTTGCCTGGTTCACTCTACTTCCTCTACAAATACTTTTCCGCTGTATTCCACCTAATCTTGACGCCAAAATGTCGTATCTCTGTCTCAATTTAACGTGATTGTAGAACAACCCTGAGTTGTGTTCCTAACGTACATCAGTAAAAGTAAACGCGGATGGACATAGTGCTGAGGTCAAGAAACATAAACTCACTTCATCTGCCCGACATGTGCCTAGGTTTACACAGGTTTCCACATACTGGGAGTGCGGTGTAGAAACAAATCTACAAACCTGAGTACGTAATGATGGTTGAGCTTAAAACATTCAAGGGAAGCAACTCAACAAAATAATAATATCTTCAAATTATATGGTACGGTCCCTTTTTAACACAGATAATTTGGTTCCATAATTTATTAAGTTCGTTACAAAGTATAAGCAAAACAAAAACTTCGTGCTATCACAATAAAAGCAGGCTTGGTCGAGCTCCATGCCTTTATTTTATAACATTTTGTCTAGAACAAAGACGAAATATATCAAGTTGTCCATACAATTGTTACAATGACGTGATTTCTAATACTCAATATTATTGTAACAGGGTTGACAGTGTATCTTGACGTGCAGCCCCGAAAAAATCTTTAGACCAAAATCAGATATCAATTTCTCACATTCCAAAAAAAATAAATAATAAAATTGTCAATCAGCTGATAATACTGGTTTACAATTCTAGATCAGGATAGGTAACTTTGTGGTGCAACAAGCAAAACAACGGTAGTTTCCCCTTGATCCAAATCGCGTTTTCACTTAATTAATTAAAAGAAAAAAACGTTTACATTATAAATTGACAAAGACGATACAATCTAATTTCACAATTGTCATATGTAAGATTACATAGAGACAATAAAATATATATTATGTACATCGTAAGGCAAGATATTTATAAGGTACCAGGAGCTTTGGCCTTTGGGTCTTTGACCTTTGGGTCTTTGACCTTTGGGTCTTTGACCTTTGGGTCTTTGACCTTTGGGTCTTTGACCACATGTAATTTGTCTACAACAGGGCTTTGATCTCTTCACAAGGGATCAAAGGTTCCGTAATTATAATTTAAGGTGGGGCATGATGCGATAACATGATTAGTCGCCGTGTATATGTACAAGCGATAAATAATTCTGCAACATGTAAGAAGTACACCATGTTGTTCAGACATATGGTCCAACAGATTTACTGAAATATAAGCGTGCTATAAGCACATCTGGCATACAAGTATTAATTATTCGACTATACTTTAACATGCTTTTTAAACATTTATATATGCTATGTATTATCTAATACAGGGGTCTCCAAACTTTTCAGCCCGAGGGCCGCATTGACTATCAAAGTTCAGTTCGGGGGCCAGTTTCTTCCAGACATGTCTTTGATTTTTCTGGGAAAAGTTCCTCAGCCATCACCAACAAATGTTTTTTGCGTGGGCAAAAAGATCTCCGCGGGCCGGATGAGAGGACTTCGCGGGCCGCATCCGGCCCGCGGGCCGTAGTTTGGAGACCCCTGATCTAATAGATCAGCTTTAGGAAAATTTTAACCGGTCACATTATTGGTGTTAGTTTCATGTTTATAAATACAACTAATAGAGCTGGCACAGCGCTCATGTGGACTAAAACAACTGTTGATTTTTTAAAATGCATTTTTAGTAATGGCACGTCAGTCAAAGGGAACTAGTCATATTGTTAAAAAAGATATTAGGACAAACCACTTAATTACCCCGCTGTGGTCAAACCATGGTCATAGCGCCTGTGGCCAAAGCACCCAATACCGTTTATAAAGTTAATTAAACTTTTGCCAGCAAATATGTCACCAGTGGTGGCGATATAGTTTGGTTTTTAAAAAGAAACATTATTGCTACTAAATTAGTTTACAAGTGGCAGTCATAGCAGGCAGATCGACACGTTAAAGGGCAATAACTCTAAAGATATACAATGATGGTAGTCATTTGAACATTTTAAAATTGTTTACATTGTAAAATTAGAATCTTTACCAGATTACTTACACACTGTTATATACGACAGGCATGAACATTAGCAAGTATTAATTATGTGACGTAATTTTATAAGATAGAATGCTAATATCGTTTACATATTATGTAAGAATAGTACGAATATGTTTGAAGCCTCTCACACATCGTCCTTCTATATAATTATATGACACGTCCTTGTCCTACTGGACGCGATTGATAAAGAAATTACAGGCAACATGAAGTAAATGGCAATACATACGGCTAAAATGTCTTGATCATATGCATATGTTAAATTTATACAAAACATATGTAGAAATGATAGCACAAGGAATTGACATGTTAACACGACAAACGACATAATTTACACCACTGGTCTTATTAAACAAAATAACATACGCTTTATTTAACGTTTCCTACATAGTGGTATTATATCCAGACACTGGCTCGGGATATGCGCACAAACACACAGCAAGACACACCCACATATACTCGAAATAGGCCATGAAAAATTGTGATACATTTACAATCACAACCACTTACGACGATACCTCGACTCTACTACGAGTATCCTACGAGTATGCTACGAATAAAACTTGCCTCTACTACGTACCACTCACAAATACGTCTACCATGTACTACTAAAACGACAAATGGTATTAATTACAAAAAAAAATAAAAGTATTAGAGAAACATTCACAAATGTCCTACAACTGAACCCTCAGAGTAGTAAATCATGTGACACGTGACAGCTTCGTGCATTGGTCCTACATCCCCCCCCATCCCAATCTCCCACTGACCATAACTGTACCACACCCTTGTTGATTTGTCAACATTGTGTTAGCCAATAACTGAACTTTGGGGAGATTTAGATGGGAGTTACAGGGGGGAGGGGAGGGGGGGGGGGCTTTGTTGGACCATGCGAAAGTCACGTAGTAAAACTATCGTTCAGAGAGTTTCAAACACAGATGTGACACACTATAAACAGGTTACACATCAACCAGTGTGTAACAGGTACTCAGGCAGGTAGATTCACAATAATATGTTGAAGCACGTCTACACAGACAGGTGTCAAGTTGGTTAAAGTCATATTAAAGTAGGTGTGCATTTTGTATACTATACGGTATTTATGCATACATTTGTTTACTATAGCATTTGTCTTATATTGTTATTTAAATATAGGGTGCAGAAGCGTATTATATTTAAAATTAATCTTTTTATGTGTGTTTATATTATTCTTCTATTTAGTGTGATGATTATTTGGAAATCGTTCCCTGGCTGAGGTATCTCCACCCAACCCCCAGTAGAGTCAGCGATGATCTAGTGATGAAAGTGGCCATTAGAGCATCCTCCACTTCTTCCACCGTCGTCACGGTTGACCGCCTCCACCCTCGTCACGGCTGACCGCATCCACCACAGCTGACCACCTCCACCACAGCTGACCATCTCCACCATCACCACACCTGACTGGCACCGCTACCTGAACAGAGCCAGCAGGCAGCCAATCACAATCAGCCACGTGACACTCCCACCCCGCGTGCTGCTGTCCTTGACGTGCAGACAAGATGGCGGGTAGAAGTAGTGCCAGATGGTGGTGTTGTACCAGGTGTAGGTCTCGGTGCCGCAGAATGACGTCTCCGTCAGCATGCAGTCGATGTAGGTGTTGTAGTTCCTGCAGGAAGAAACAACAGGTCAGTCATAGCTTAGGTGTGTGACAACATCATCATATCATCCACACTCTACCTCCTAAAGCCCCGGTGTTTCTTTCAGACTTTTTTCCTCCTGGGGAGGGGCACTTGAAAATTTCGAGATGGATGGGGAGGGGGAAAGAGGCCAACAATGTTAAAATTCTGTATAAATTTTATTTTGATCGTTGTGTATGGGGTAGACATTCAGTGCACCCCACTCCCTCTCCCGAAAATAGGCCTTTAAGAAACTGATCTATCCATATCAAAACCTGACTAATTGCATTTCTAGAACATACAGACATACACCTCTATAAACATACCTTGACACCCACCACCTCTAGGTGATGGATACCCACTCGTATCAACACCCTCTGACACCCCACCACCCCCTGACATCACCCCCTGACACCCTCCACCCCCACCACCCCTGGTGGTGACACGTGATCAGACACCTCCAGCGAAGATCGCGAGTTCTGATTTAATTACAAAATTTTCTCGTGTGCACCGCAGCTTTTTTTAAACGAAACAAAAATCGATTTAAAATAGATGAACTACAAGAGGAAGCTGGCACGGAAGGGGGGAGAAAATCGATCGAATTTTTCTTGACCGTACCAAGATTTTGGGAGCTTAGCAGTCTCCGATTAGCTGATCTGGGAGCTCAAAAACTTCTCCGATTATTTGATCTAAAGGCTCATATATTGTTCTATAAGAAGGTGTGCGATTAGCTGATCTAAAAGCTCAAAAAATGTTCTCCAATTATTTGGGCTCACATATTGTTCGATGAAACGGTCTACGTTTAGCTGAACTAACTGCACCTCGTTTTGTTGAATCTTCTACGATTAGCTAGTCAACACTGTTCCATAGATTACCCAATGAATACGGTGAAAACTATTTCCTATGTAATAAGTCGGAGTACATTTTCCTGTTAAAACGTAAAAAAATATTTTATAAGTGCAATTTATTTGTTTTTTTTCTTTGAAACACTTTCTTATGCCCAATTACGTGTGCGCTTCATTAGATTTCACGTGTGAGCTGTACATATCTCACCACGTTTTTAAGAACGTAAAATTTTTGTGTTTTTAACGAGAATATTTTCGAACGACAAACACAAAACGAAATTTGTGTATTGTCGCTAATAACTGTAATTAAAGATATTTTTAGGGGTCCATGCGCCCCCCGCACCACTGTACAGTATACGCCACTGTGCAGTTTTTTTAAATGTAATGGAATTGTGAACTGTATCATTAGGCTTTATGATTACCAGTAAACTAACATTGGATATATTCACGGAAAAGCTTATTCTTCTTGGTTGTACTCAATCACAATTAAATATACCGTCAATTTATGCGTCATATGCCCGGTTGATTCCGATTTCAGCTTAATTCTTCTTTCTGGATTTGCTCCCATACCCTGTGTCCAACCAAGAACTACATGGCAGAAGGTGTTAGATTTTGGAGTTGTCTCTCCTAGATGTGTTGCTGTACCCCTCCCCCCCCCCCATGTTAGCAGGAATAATTAAGTTAATTACGCCATTTAATCAAAGATGTCTGATTTTCTTTGGTGCACTCGAAATTTCCTGAATATTTCGACATCAGAAATCTTCAATGCGGCATGTGTTTATAGATCTTAAACTATGATCCGCTGTTTGATATTTAGACCATCTACTTCTTGAGACCATTTTACCTCCAATGATGTATAGACCATCCACTTCTTGAGACCATCTTGCCCCCATTAAAGTCTAGACCATCTACTGCTATTTATAGCGTGAGACCATCTTGCCCCCCACCGTGGACTAACACTAGACCTATTTATATAACAGTTATCTCCCATCTTGACCGGAGACAGCCGTGAGAAATGAAGATAAATTGACGACTGGATTATTCCCCTTTCTACATATGGTAAGTTTCGTTCGGCAGTCGAAGTTACCGAATAAAACAGAATTTGTTGTGTCAACTCTAAAGGAAGTTTCAAGCACCTAGAACTTTAGTTTTCAAGTGCTGACAGACTTATGCCTGTCTGGCTATATCTAATCTGTTAAATAATGTCTTTCTGGTGAAATCTGTTTTATGTTAAGTCTGTCTGTTTTGAAGGATGAAAACAAGTCTGTCCTGTACCCAAATTTTCCTGCTTTTAAACCATACACACACATCATTTTCCAAATATGATTTTTAATGGATGCCTCCACTTTTCCTGCCGTCTAGAACATATCAAGGATTCCACTGTAGAGTACAAAGTCTTGAACTCAATGTTAACGTGATTGATTTACTTCACAATGGCAGTCACAAGTTAATTACAGTAAGGCGGCGGTCTTGTCTGTTTCTGGTGTTAATAGAGATGGTGTTGGTTGTCGGGCAGTGTCGTCGTTGTTATTGTCGGCGTTGTTGTAGTTTTTGTTGTTGTTGTTGTCAGCGTTGTTGTAGTTTTTGTTGTTGTTGTTGTTGTCGTCGTTGTTGTAGATTTTGTTGTTGTTGTCGTCGTTGTTGTAGTTTTTGTTGTTGTTGTCGTCGTTGTTGTAGTTTTTGTTGTTTTTTTAGTCGTTGTTGTAGTTTTTGTTGTCGTTGTTGTTGTTGTGGTTGTTATTGCAGTGCCCGCGACCCATCTCAGAGGAGTTTTCGCCCCGCCCCATCACACCCGCCCCTAACGATAGTTGGACTATTGGATGTGGTGATGTTTTTGTGGTTAGGGGGATACTGGGGAGGAAAATAATGAGGTGTGTGGGGTCGGGATATGTGGGTGCAGGAAGTAAAGGTGTGGGGTATGTGGGGGGGGGGCTTGGGATGTGTGGTTATAGGAAGTGTAAGAGTGGGATATAAGCGGGTGTGGGGTTATAGGAAGTGTGAGAGAGGTACATGTGGGGGTGTGGGGTTATAGGAAGTGTGAGAGAGGGTTAAGTGGGGGTGTGGGGTTATAGGAAGTGTGAGAGAGGTACATGTGGGGGTGTGGGGTTATAGGAAGAGTGAAGAAGGCACATGTGGGGGTGTGGGGTTATAGGAAGTGTGAGAGAGGTACATGTGGGGGTGTGGGGTTATAGGAAGTGTGAGAGAGGTACATGTGGGGGTGTGGGGTTATAGGAAGTGTGAGAGAGGTACATGTGGGGGTGTGGGGTTATAGGAAGTGTGAGAGAGGTACATGTGGGGGTGTGGGGTTATAGGAAGTGTGAGAGAGGTACATGTGGGGGTGTGGGGTTATAGGAAGTGTGAGAGAGGTACATGTGGGGGTGTGGGGTTATAGGAAGTGTGAGAGAGGTACATGTGGGGGTGTGGCGTTATATGAAGTGTGAGAGAGGTACATGTGGGGGTGTGGGGTTATAGGAAGTGTGAGAGAGGTACATGTGGGGGTGTGGGGTTATATGAAGAGTGAGAGAGGTACATGTGGGGGTGTGGGGTTATAGGAAGAGTGAGAGAGGTACATGTGGGGTGTGGGGTTATAGGAAGAGTGAGAGAGGTACATGTGGGGGTGTGGCGTTATATGAAGTGTGAGAGAGGTACATGTGGGGGTGTGGCGTTATATGAAGTGTGAGAGAGGTACATGTGGGGGTGTGGGGTTATATGAAGAGTGAGAGAGGTACATGTGGGGGTGTGGGGTTATATGAAGAGTGAGAGAGGTACATGTATGGGTGTGGGGTTATAGGAAGAGTGAGAGAGGGTTAAGTGGGGGTTTGGGGTTATATGAAGTGTGAGAGAGGTACATGTATGGGTGTGGGGTTATATGAAGAGTGAGAGAGGGTTAAGTGGGGGTGTGGGGTTATAGGAAGTGTGAGAGAGGTACATGTGGGGGTGTGGGGTTATATGAAGAGTGAGAGAGGTACATGTGGGGGTGTGGGGTTATATGAAGAGTGAGAGAGGTACATGTGGGGGTGTGGGGTTATATGAAGAGTGAGAGTGGGTTACATTGAGGTCATGACAGACGATGGCGGATACGTTGTATACGTCAGTGAACGTTAACGGGACTTGTGGGAGATCGATATTGGCTAAATGTGCTTTGGTGTACTGAGGTGGGGGGGGGGGGGGCAGCTTGGTGGTGGGGCGTCAGACGGAGGGGGACACACATGAGTAAATACAGGGATACACGGACATGTACATATTTACAAACACACATATATTAAGATACAAACACAGGCAAATACATTAATACACAAATGCACAGACACACACATGTGCAAACACAAATATACTCCGACAAAACAGACACATACACAGACAGACATGTGCAAATACATTAGACACATATCATGTAATTGCAACACATAGACACACGTATGTGAAGACATATCTAAACATAGAGACACAATTAAAAACACACTCATACTCGCAACCACTGATACGCACATAGACAACAAAGCCACACATACGTGAGAACAAATACAATTTGTATACTGCTTACATAGACATACACAGTCCATATGCAGACTAACATATAGCCTGCACGAACAGACACATATACATACACATATACGCAATAAATAGCAACACACATACACATATGCAGACACACATACGCAATACGAGATGTATACACATATATGCATTTACATAACTCTAACAGACCTACATACACTCTAAAAGATTTACACACGTATGCAGACACATATACTGCAACAGACCTTTGCATACTGACCCCGAGTGTAGTAGGTTTGACATACATAGCAGGGAAGAAAAAAAATGTTAGCCCTAAATACATTACATCAAAAGACATGTGGGTGGACAAAGAACACAGCCCCAAGCGATGCTGGGAAATAAAATTATGGGATGGCTGAGTGCCCCAGTTAACGGGCTTCGTGAAAGCTGATTGGTCGGTAATTCTTGTACATACTTCAGGATTTTGGGATAGACTTTCTGGATTTTGGGATTTACTACCATTTCCTTAAAACCAACTCATTAAGGAATGGGATTAATTTCAATGACGTGTTTCGAAAAGTCTGTCTCAGTGTACTTAAATATTTCTGGAATTTAGCCTAGAGTAGTTTTATCTATGGCGTACGGTTTGTGAGCGTTTTGAAATTTCTTAGACAACAAGGTTAGAAAGATAAAAATCGCGCGTCATCATACCCACCAGAAAATTTGTTTATACACTTAATCTTACACCATATGATATACGTTTTATTGCAGAATTAAAATCGTGTGTTAAAACGTTTGCATTGATGTTTTAAAAGTTATTTGATAAACTATTAACTATATAAACATTCTCAGTAAGCACCACTTAATAATTGGCACTGCTGGTTTTAATGTTAAAAGACAAACCTGCAAAACTTGGATTGGTCTAAAGTTTTGGAAGCTGTGATCTTTTTATAGAAACAGTCGTCAATGGACGCCTCTTTGCTGTGTACACAATGGAGGTCAATATCTGGTGAGGACGGTGATGGAGGTCATTAAAAATATGATTAGAATCTGTGATACGTGTACATACACATACATATACAAACATACATATATGTATATGTATATGTACATGTATATGTATATATATATATATATATATATATATATATATATATATATATATATATATATATATATATATATATATATATATATATATAATGTGTGTAGGCCTATATATACACATACACATACATGCCTATACATATACAAAAAGCTTATATATACTTATAAAAACCATATATATGTATACATGTGTACATACACAAATACATATTCACGTACACGTACAAGTTAAAATACTCTTTCATATGTTCAACAGTGTGCACATACACAGGTGTACACTTGTACATGTACATAACAATATACACATCTGCATGTACATACTCAGTAGACGTGTACATGTAAGCCTGGCGAACACACAACTATGACGGACTTACTTGTGTTTTTGTCACACAGGTGGTCTACAAACGGCGCCATCTTGTTGATGGGTGCCATGTAGCCCCGGTAACTGGGCGGCACGCACGAGTGCAGGCCGGTTATGCCGCAGGTGAGCGCCTGTTTGAGCTGGGTTTGTTGACTGCACGTGCAGAGCGTCAACAGGAAATAGAAACATTTTAATTGGATAATTTTTTCTTAAAGATCAAGGTTATGCTTGCATTGGGGTTAAGGTTTAGCCAAGACAATATTGATAGCATGCATTTCAAGAAATTATTATATTCTTAAAGCTAGCATTAGGGTCAGCATTATGCTATAGAAATATTAATATTAGTATTTTAAAAATAAATTGTGTAAGATATAAAAATATTTAAAAATTATAAAAATGATCAATATATAAATACAGACTGTTTACAAAGGGTGATTGTAACTCTCTTACAAAAATATGAATACAGGTATTTTAAGTTTATACGTGTGTTGCTAATTTATTATCTGAAGCAAAAATACCTTCTTAATTAAAGCTCAGAGACACCAATTGCTGCAACTATTTGAGCCTGAACTATCAACTACTAACAACCCTTGGTACATCTACTAGAGCCCTAACTATCAACTACTAACTACCCTTGATAACGTGAAAGCCATCATCCCCTGGTCTAGACCTATGCCTGACTTGTTTATACACGGTTGTCCCCCATCACATGGAAATTCCCGTGAAATATGAAGATTGATTGTCCCTACGGTAATCTCACTTTAAAAAACAACGCTGTTTTATTTTCTAGTCTGCTCTAGGGTTCGTGATTAAATAGATTTTGGATAAGCCACTTTTGTGGATAAGCCACTTTTGTGGATAAGCCACTTTTGTGGGTCATGTAGACTTGATGATACATAGATTTTTGGATAAGTTAGACTTTTGGATAAGTTAGACTTTCGGAAAAGTAAGACTTTTGGATAAACTAAGGCGATTGGCTGTTAGATTTCAGGGGGAAATTTAGACTTTTGTTTTAATCTAGACGTGTATATGCAGGTAGGTGGATAATTGGTGGAGTGGATATGTAGGTCGGTGGATAACAGGGGGATTGGATATCTAGGTTGGTAAATAGATGGTGGAGTGGATATGTAGGTATGTGGATAACTGGTGGAGGGGATATTTAGGTGGGCGGATAGTTGGTAGAGTGAGTGGATATTTAGGTGGCTGAATAACTGGTCAGTGGATAACTCGTGGAATGGATATGTTGGTAGGTGGATAACTGGTGGAAACAGTCGAAAAAAACTATGGCTGAATGCATATCATACTGAATATATCAATTGAATGCTAATTTTGCAATGGCATCCCTTACACACTACACTCCTGTTAATGACATCACTTACACACTACACTCATGTCAATGACATCACTTACACACTACACTCCTGTCAATGACATCACTTACACACTACACTCATTTCAATGACGCCTCTAACATACTACACTCCTTTGAATAAAATCACTTACGCACAATTACTCATGTCAATCACACCAGTTACGCAAAATTACTCATGTCAATAAAACCACTTACGCACAATACTCCTCCTTGCTGTTCTTGATGAACATATTCATGATGATGTTCTTAAAGTCGGCCATCGACTCGCTGAAGTTCTGGGGCACCTTGACCCCAGCCACCACAAAACAGTGCCGAAATGTCTCAAAGGTGTTGTTGGCCATGCATGAGCCAGACACCGCGTGCTGTGACGTCACAAGTAGGGCTGAAGACAGAGACAGAGACCGGTCTTCACAAACAATCAAATGACACGAAGATATTAAGGCCTATGGCTACTGTCTAAATGTTTATAAGCATTGTTTGCAAAGTCCAGAGTAGGGTGGTTGGAAGTACGTTTTCAAATACATTTTAGTAGGAAATGTTGTAAAATTGTACATAAAAGTGTAGTTTTCAAACAAAAAGCAAACAAACAAAATATTTAACATACACGACTAACATCTGAGGAATCAGTTACTACTTGATGTTGAACAACCGTACAATGTTCGATAAAGTATGGTGATTTGTGTTACGCAGGTAGGTATATCTGGACATGTGTGTGGTGGGGAAAGTGTATGCTACTACTCCCAGGGTAAATGCGTGGAGTGGAATAGTTAAACAATACGGCAAACCATTCATTGAGTAGCATTGCGTTTTATTGCGCAGTATAAGTCTAAAGAAACCATACTTTCAGTAGCATTAAGTTTTATGTGAGCTATATAAGCCTTAACAAATCAACGTCCCTTTTCCATGTCTTCTATAGTGCAAGTGCACCCATACAACCCACCCATGGCCTCATCCAATCCCAAAAGACTCATCAGCTACAACTAGGATGTCAACATTTACAATTTATTTTCTGTCCAGCATATCGTGCGTGATGCGAATGATTCCTCAACTCAACACTACATAATAAGTCTTAGTACTAGTAAATTTACGGTCTCAAAAATATTTTTGTAGTTTTAAATTTGTTTACGCGTTGGACTGGAGATGGTTGGCAAGGGAATAGGTAAGGGGTTTAGTAAGGGTTTGGTAAGGGGTTTGGTAAGGGGTTTGGTAAGGGGTTTGGTAAGGGGTTTGGTAAGGGGTTTGGTAAGGATTTGGGAAGTGGTTTGGCATTGAGTAGCAGAAAGTCTATTGTTTGACAAAGTATGATGCACACAATAATATAAGTTCGTGCAAATTGTCGTGTAGCATTGTGTGGGACGGCCTGGTCGTATGGTAGAGTGTTCGACTGCTAGCCCGAAAGTCTCGAGTTTGGACCGAAACTCGTTTTCGTGGACGTCCCTGAGTCGACCCCACTGCTCTAATGGATGTCTGGAAGTGAGAGTGGCCGGACATAGTGCTGACCACATAGAGCCGATGTTACTAAAACTGGTGAAATCTACTTCACCTGTCATATAAGTGAGTGATAATGTGCAGAGAGAGGCAGCAATTCAAAGTCGAAAAAAAGGAGGTGAAATGTTTTGAACAATGCTAATAGGGGGTTTAAGTCGGTGAGGATAGGTTTGCGTAAACAGGGCGCGGATGGGGGGGGGGGGTAGTAAGGGGTTAATATGGGAGGGCGGGGGGTGTATCAATGGGTTCAAATGGGTGAAAACCCAAGAAAGTTGTGCTGTTATCCAAATACAACCATGCTAGCATAAGCAACAGACATTATGAAATCTGACATGCAGCATTCAAAAGGTTCGATTCCTAGCCAACCGCAACTAGAAACTCGTGTCTGTGTTCATGGCAAACAGAATATGCCGTGCTCACGACAAACACAATATGCTTTGATCAGGACAAACACAATATGCTTTGATCAGGACAAACACAATATGCTTTGATCAGGACAAACACAATATGCTTTGATCAGGACAAACACAATATGCTGTGATCACGACAAACACAATATGCTGTGATCACGACAAACACAATAAGCTATGTTCACGACAAACACGATATGCTGTGATCAAACACAATATGCCGTGCGGTAAATTTCATCCTACATGAAAACATTCTGGCCTGAAGCCAGACAAAAGTCTGGCAACTCTGCTGTATGACGCTGACAAGATCATCTCGTCTGGAGCTAACGACACTTTGATACGATATGATTCCCGCCCAAGTCGCGGCTGACGCGAGATGTCAGCGAGGACGGTATAAAACCATTAACCTTACATCTAGCGACGATTGCTTTTGATTGGTCGCGGCCGTCACGTGGTGAATGGGAGGATGTGACGTAGCATTAAGAGGTTTGGTTACATGGGCGGACGTATTTGTATCGCGGCTGATGAGGCGGGGACTGTTGGGTAGTCCACCCACGTCATGTGGATCAATGATGTGGCAACAATCCACCCACGTCATGTGGATCAATGATGTGGATCAATGATGTGGCACAATCCACCCACGTCTGTTAGTGGCACGTAGTATGATACGATTGTGTTGTGCAACGATGTGACACAGTTGTGTGACAAAGTGACGTGCTAAACGGTGCAGCACAGCTGTGTGACAGAGTGTAGTGCTAAATGGTGCGCACAGTTGTGTGACAAAGTGAAGTGCAAAACGGTGCAGCACATTGATGTGGCACATGGACGTAGTACAAAGCCAAGACCGCATCGACAATGGTCTAGCTTCGACTTTGGACTTTTTATGTATTTACAATTCTCACATGTGGCAAAAACATATTTGATGACACATCTGTCATGTTATACCTTGTGAATGTGTATGCTAGTGATAGTTTATGTGATGACAAAGAAAGCAGTTAGAAAAAAGAAAGAAAATCAAATCGTTTCAAAACATGAAATCAGATTGAAACCAACAACGCGACTAGACACACTGAAATCTAGATTTTTATTACGTGAGTAGAATTAAACAAGTGCAGGGAAAAAATAAAACGAGGCCATTATATTAATAATAAAATGTGAGTGAAAAAAAAGCAGATATCAATATGATTTTAAAAAACGATTGTTTTCTCTGAAGATAAAAAAATAAATTAAAATAAAATAAAACAATAGCTGTGATTATGCAACTTGGCCAACACGTATGTCCAGGTATCTGGCCAACCCATCGGAAACATTCGACCAACCAATATTATTGATGAGTATATACTTAGCCAAACCTACCCACCACCATACAACCCAACAGCCCGACCTACCACCAGTCAACACAACCCATCCTACCACCATACAACTCAACAAATCTACTTACCACCATACAACCCAACAAATCTACCTACCACCATACAACCCAACAAATCTACCTACCACCATACAAGGCAACAACAACCCATCCTACCACCATACAACCCAACAGCCCTACCTACTACCATACAACCCAAAAACAACCCTACCTACAACCAAACAACAACATGTATGGCCACCAGACAAAAGTCTCCCACCAATCACTTCCCGTGCATGTTTTACTACCAAACTCAAATCAAATTCTCCATTTTATTCCCCCAGCAGTAGAACTCTGCCAATCGACCCCCCCCCTCCCCACATTTTAATACCCAACAGGAAACGAGATCGGGGTACCTCTATAGGAGGCGAGCGGCGAAAAATCCACAAAAGGAAGATTGGTTTTCTTCTCATCGTCAATGGCGATGTATAAAATATGAGTTCGTGGATGGTGATGTTTTTTAAGGCTAATCTCAGAAAGATTAGTAGCTGTTTGGTGTACGTGCTTGTTCTGTGATGGTTTAAGGTAAACATCGTACCCAGAGACTGTTCCACTTTAATGGGAGTGTTAGATAAAGGGGAAAAACTCTTGGCTCAAGGGAGATAATTGTGTGGGAGAGGGGGAAGAACTCTAAGCAAGAGAATCAAAGATAAAGATGAAAGGGAAGTAAGATCAAATGCTGATATATTGATTTCAAAACTTTATTTTAGAGACGCAAAATAGTTTGTGATTTCGGAACATACACCATTTTGATACCTAAATGAACGGGAAAATAGTATGTTGGATAACTATGCCATTTGACAAATGAAACTATACCATTTGGACACACTATACCATTTGGACACACTATACAACAGTGAAAATGTACTAATACCTCCCACCTACAGAAGAAATATTAAGCATGATCAGTTTGCCTGAGTGAATATTTTCAGTCGCTTCTCCATTAGACTATAAAAACATTGTTCCGTTAATTCACTTTACAATCACACGATCCATCTCCAATAGAAAAAACATATTTTTAATTCAGTTTATCATTTCCTAAACTAAAACAGTTTCAATACATTTGTGTATGTTTTTAGCGTGCTGTCTTTCCCAATACTAAGACAAATTTTAGATACTAAGAAAGCCATGAACTTGATGATAAGAATTAGCTGGTCTTAAATTTAAAAAAAAAATTGTTCTGAGTGAAGATCATATAGCTACGCTGGGTGCTCAAACAACCATATGGTACGCTTAATCAAGCATACCATTATCCCGGAATGAAATCACGGAAAACAAAAACGTCCCGGTTAACTAGACGCAACAGGAAGCCACATGAAACCAGCAAACACAAAAATATTTTATGAGAGTAGAGAGTTTCTAAATCTGGGGAAAATTAATTTGTGAACATTTTTTATGACGGATTACGATAAAACGTTTATCTTGTAGCGGTCAGCTATAGACGCGGGTGGTTTTATTACAGTTCTGTACAGGAATATCCCGATTATAAACATGTCCTCATCTCATAACATTTTCTTTGATATAACGTGTAGGGGGGGGGGTGGGGAATACCAGCAGGGTGGATAACTCTGAATGTTTGAGCTACCATCCAGCCTGTCAGATGTTTGGTCAGCAGCTAAAACCTAATTAACTAAGAATTAATGAGTTAATTTTTAACGCAGATGCAAATTTAGTTAGTGACTTACAGTTGTTTAAAAAAAAAATTGGACAAATGCAATAAAAAAAAATTGGACAAATGCAATAAAAAAAAATTGGACAAATGCAATAAAAAAAAATTCATGTAAAAAAGCATTGGGAAAATATACTTTTTTATGAGGTAGAGCCTTTTGTATATATTTTAACTTACAGTTACATATAACACATACGCACACGTGCATATATATATATATATATATATATATATATATATATATATATATATATATATATATATATATATATATATACTACATATAATCATGCGTGTATTTGTGTATCTCTTAAATTTTGTATGTGCACATTTTACTCGAAATATTTCACGAACGAAGCGTCACTCGTATCACGTGACTTGCCGATGGCGTGCAGTGAACGATT